ATGTGTGTATTAAACCAGATTTGTTCTTGTCCAGTTTCCTGTGTAAATCCTGATAATCTCAGACTCCAAACCCTGCTCAGCTCCAGCTGTTGCATCATGGGAAATGTGGTCCTGACAGGCGTGTGTCCCTGCAGAGCGGTTCCAGGACCCTGGGGGTCCCCCCGGGGGTCCCGGGGGTCCCCCCTGCAGCCGGGACCTGCTGGTCCACCTGAACCGGATCCACTGCGGCGAGCCTTTTTTCGCCAAGATGGCCGCCGCGGGCGCCGCGAGCTGGTGCCGCCTGGGGGCCGTGATCCGGTGAGTCCCCGGGGGCCAAAAGAAAAGATCTAATCCAGTTAAAAGTACAAAAACGTAATTAAGAAACAAGGACAGGGAGCTGGTTTCATCTGCTGGCTGAGATTTTTAGCCAAAACGAGGCTGTTTTTCTACCTCAAACTGACCATTTTAGATTAACAACGTTGTTTTTCTGCCTCAAACTGACTTTTTTTTAGCAAAAACGAGGCTGTTTGTCTACCTTAAACTGAGTTTTTTAGCCTAAACATCAATTTTTTATCTTAAACTAAGTGTTTTTAGCCAAAAGAGGCTGGTTTTCTACCTTTATTTTAATTTTTAAGCCAAAATAAAGCAGTTTTTCTACCTCAAACTGACTTTTTTAGCAAAAATGAGGCTGTTTGTCCACCTTAAACTGAGTTTTTTAGCCTAAACATACATTTTTTACCTTAAAAGTTTTTTTTTTGCCAAAACGAGGACGTTTTTTGCCTCAAACTGAGTTCTTTAGCAGAAAATATGCCGTTTTACTACCTCAAACTGACTTTTTTAGCCAAAACTAGGCTCTTTTTCTACCTCAATATGACTTTCTTAGCCAAAATGAGGCTGTTTTTCTTCCTCTAATTGACGTTTTTACCAAAACGAGACAATTTTCTACGTTAAACTGACTTTTTTAGCCAAAACAAGGCTCTTTCTCTACCTCAAAATGACTTTTTTACTTAAAACGAGGCTGTTTTTCTGCCTCAAACTGACTTTTTTAGCCAAAACTAGGCTGTTTTTCTACCTCAATCTGACTTTTTTAGCCAAAACGAGGCCGTTTTCTACCTCTGACTTCTTTATCGGTCACAGGACTGAGCTTTGGAGAACAGAGAAAGTGTCTCCGGGGGAAATCGTCCCTCATCAGGAGTGGCTGAGCGGTCAGTTCCTGTCGATGCTATCTGCCCTCGGCCTGATCTTCTGTTCCTCCAGCAGGAAGCAGCTCCACCGCACCAGTTTCACACAATAGTTTCAGCAGTTTCAGTCTCACAACCTCCAATCCGCCCCGAAATCAGAGTTCAGACCCAGCTGAGTTTTTTTTAGGCTGTTTGAGGCTGTTTTTCTGCCTCAAACTGACTTTTTTAGTTAAAACAAGGCTGTTTTTCTACCTCAATCTGACTTTTTAGTTAAAACTAGGCTGTTTTTCTGCCTCAAATTGAGTTTTTTAGCCAAAACGAGGCTGTTTTTCTGCCTCAATCTGACTTTTTTAGCCAAAACGAGGCTGTTTTTCTACCTCTAACTGACATTTTTAGTTAAAACGAGGCTGTTTTTCTGCCTCAAATTTAGTTTTTTAGCCAAAACGAGGCTGTTTTTCTGCCTCTAACTGACTTTTTTAGTTCAAACTAGGTTGTTTTTCTGCCTCAATCTGACTTTTTTGTTAAAACAAGGCTGTTTTTCTGCCTCAAACTGACTTTTTTGGTTAAATCGAGGCAGTTTTTCTACCTCAAACTGAGTTTTTTAGCCAAAACAAGGCTGAAGGCCGCTTAATAAAAGGAGATGTCCACATAAGTCTGAATTAACTCACTGATCTGAATCCTAAACAGATAAAACTTCCCGATTGTGTTTTCTGCCGAGACCGTTATCTACCTTAAGCTGAGGTTTTTTTAGCCCAAACAAGGCTATTTTTTTATGGCACTTTCATCATTTATGGCACTTTATAGGGCAAAATATGCTAATTAGCTACAGCCTGTCACATAAATGATCAAAAGAAATAAATGAATTTCTGTTCTGATTTCCACTAAATCAGCTCTGTTCCAGCAGATATTGCAGACAGAAGCAGAAACATGAGTTCAGGATCTGGAAACAGCTTCTCTGAGCAGCAGAAACTCACATTTTAAAGTCTGACAGCAGGATTTTCTCGCGTTATCCTTCCTAACTCGTCCCTCTCTGGCCTCACAGACCGTACCATGAACTGACCGAGTGTTTGGAGCAGGTGGCCGAAGTGGTCGGCTGTTTCTTCCCAAACCCGGACGTGCAGGACTTCTTCCTGGAGGTCCACTCCACCTTCTTCAGCAACTGCTCCCGGGGAGAGGAGAACCCGTTTGAGGACGCCCCCCTGGGCCTGGTGGTCTGGCTCACGGCCGTCCCCGTGGGCCTCATCCCCGCCCTGGTTTACCTGGTGGTGTGGAGGAGTTAGGCTATATATATGCACTATATATATAGGAGATTATGTGTGTGTTATATATCAGGGCCTCACCCTGGTTTACCTGGTGGTGTGGAGGAGTTAGGCTATATATACGCACTATATATAGCAGATTATGTATGTGTTATATATCAGGGCCTCATCCCCGCGCTGGTTTACCTGGTGGTGTGGAGGAGTTAGGCTATATATACGCACTATATATAGCAGATTATGTATGTGTTATATATCAGGGCCTCACCCTGGTTTACCTGGTGGTGTGGAGGAGTTAGGCTATATATACGCACTATATATATAGGAGATTATGTATGTGTTATATATTGTTAAGTGTCGTTATATATATGTATCATGCTGTCAGGTGGTTTTCCTTCTGCCTTTTGTTGAAAAGAGGCACAATAAAAAAAAAAATATATATATACATATATACATATATATAGATATATTTATATTTAAAATGCTGTCGATGGTTTTCCTTCTGCCTTTTGTTGATAAGAGGCAACTATATATTCGTATGTAAAAAATCACATTTCAATAAAAAAAACACATCAATGGCATTCATTTATGAAATAAGATTAATTAAATATCTAAATGAAATTATCTTGTCCAGAAAGCTCCTGTTTCTTTCTTTGGGTTTCTTTTGGTCATTTTCAGTGACAGCTGTAGTGTTTCCTACTGTCACAGAGGAGTTTTGGGGTCCTGAACAGCAGCAGGGCATTATGGGAGTTGTAGTATGAGCGGTTAATGTACAGTAAAACACCGGGGGCCAGATATAATTACAGAGTTTGACACCCCTGTTTTAGGGCGTCTCCAGGAGATTCTCCAGGCTTCTGGAAGGACGTCCCGCCTTTATATTAGCTTCCTTCTGCTTTGTTATCTCCTCAAATCGGGGCGTTGTTTTTTTTCGTGTTGATTTATCTGGTGAATCGGACTCAGACTGGAGCTGAAAGCCGACTGGTTGAGGTTTTGTTTGGCCGGAGGAGCTGGTGACTGATGGGTTCCTCCTGATAGTCTTTTTGGTTCCTGCCTCACAAAAACAAACCATTAGCGGGGATAAACATGAGATCTAGGAGAGGCCTCAGAGCTGATAAGGATCCTCTCTGTTCCAGGGATTTCCTCCCGTTTTTTTACTCCTCTCAGTGCATTTTAAAGATTCAAACTCCTTCCTGAGGCTTTTTCCACAAGTAAAATAATCAAAGAAAAGCCCCGGTCATTGCATTCAATTATAAATGTGTTCTTTTGAATGCTTTCCAGTTCTGTTAACATAAGAAAAAACATCCCCCGTCTCATTTTCCAACTTTTGTCTTGAGATTTGAGCTCTGTATTAGACTTTAATTAAAAGGTAATCATCTTGTAAGTTGTTTTCCAGCAGCATTAATGATCATCTTCATAAAATAAATCTACTTTTGACAGCCTGTAACACACTCTCTGAATGTTTAAGTCTATTTTCCTTACATTTGTGTCATCAAAAAGCACAAACGCACAACAAAAACTGTAATTTACATCGAAGTTTGGCCCTTTAACACAACACATCTTGTATAAAAAACACATTTATCCAAAAAACAGGATTAAGTACACAAATATTTAATATTTGTCATATCAAATTTGCTTTCATAACAGTTTTCTGTAAAGATTTGCGTCTGTTTTATTTCTCTTAATTAAAAAAAAGCCTTTGCATGTGTGAAAGGAGACGCTGCCCCCTGCTGGGTTGAATCTAAATTGTAAAGAGGGTTTAAGACATTTTTAAGACGTCTGAAGGAAAGAATGAGAGGCGTACCAGTTTTTGTTTATCAGAGGAAAAAATACAATGAAAAATAAAGTTGTTTTTTAATGTGTTTTAAACATTAATCATCCTTTTTCCTATCAGTCAGAAGCCTTGATAAAAAACACAGACAGAAAACGTTCACATTTAATATCCATCTTTATTCACAGATAGCACTAGAAATACATTCATATATCAAATGATTAAACAAACAGCTACACAGAAAATGAGAACCAAATGTAAGAAGTAGAAAGTACAGTCACCTTGCTAACTTTTTTTGCCTTTTAATGTCTTTGGATGCGTCATTTTACAAGTTCAGACATAATCTATGGCACTTATTAGGGCAAAAAAATGCTAATTAGCTAAATCGGACATCATTTGTGGCGCTTCATAGGGGGAAAAAAAATGCTAATTAGCTAAATCAAATATAATTTTTGGCACTTTATAGGGCAAAAAATGCTAATTAGCTGAATCAAAAATCCTTTTTGGCACTTTAAAGGGTAAAAAATGCTAATTAGCCAAATCAGAGCTAATTTATGGCGCTTTATAGTGGAGAGAAATGCTCATTAGCTAAATCAGAGCTAATTTTGGGCACTTTATAGGGCAACAAATGCTAATTAGCTAAATCAGAGCTAATTTATGGTGCTTTATAGTGAAAAAAAATGCTAATTAGCTAAATCAAACATCATTTTTGGTGCTTTATAGGGGGAAAACATGCTAATTAGCTACTCCTGCTTGGCTTTCCTCCTCCCGCACACCCGGAGGCAGAGGAACCGTAGCGACCCAACGATAGCCGCCGTTAGCACCAGCAGGACGGCGCCCAGGAAGCTCCAGACGTCCACGGAGTGGAGGGCCGACAGGCGCCGTGTGCTTTCCCTGGAGCCGTCTCTTAATGTGCTTTAGACATTAATCATACGTTTTCCCATCAGTCAAAAGCCTTGAAATCAAAATAAACGGCCTCTCACATTTAATATCCATCTTTATTCACAGATAGCACTAAAAAATACATTCATATATCAAATGATTAAACAAACAGCAACACAGAAAATGAAAACCAAATGTAAGAAGTAGAAAGTACAGTCACCTTGCTCACTTTTTTTGCCTTTTAATGTGTTTGGATGCGTCATTTTAAAAGTTCAGACATAATTTTTGGCAGTTTATAGGGCAACAAATGCTAATTAGCTAAATTAAAGCTAATTTATAGCGCTTTGTAGTGGAAATAAATGCTAATTAGCTAAATCAGACATTATTTCTGGCGCTTTATAGGGGGGAAAATGCTAATTAGCTAAATCAAACATAATTTTTGGCGCTTCATAGTGTAAAAAATGCTAATTAGCTAAATCAAACATCGTTTATGGCAGCTTATAGGGCAACAAATGCTAATTAGCTAAATCGGAGCTAATTTATGGCGTTTTATAGTGGACAAAAATGCTAATTAGCAAAATCAAACAAAACATCATTTACGGCAGTTTATAGGGCAACAAATGCTAATTAGCTAAATCAGAGCTAATTTATGGCACTTTATAGTGGAAAAAAATACTAATTAGCCAAATCAAACATCATTTTTGGTGCTTTATAGGGGGAAAACATGCTAACTAGCTACTCCTGCTTGGCCTTCCTCCTCCCGCACACCCGGAGGCAGAGGAACCGTAGCGACCCAACGATAGCCGCCGTTAGCACCAGCAGGACGGCGCCCAGGAAGCTCCAGACGTCCACGGAGTGGTAGGCTAGCCAGCTCATCCTGAAGGACTCGGTGCGCAGGTGAGCGGCGCCCCCATGCCGCATGACGAACTCCACCCAGAACATGGCGGTGTCCAGGGGCGCCATCGGCCGGTCGCGGTGGAGGTCCGACAGGCGCCGCATGCTTTCCCGGTAGCTGGGATTGTGCAGCACGTCCTCTAGCGCCTCCAGGAAGCTCTCCCGGGTTAGCGCCGCGGCGTCGACCGCCCGCGCGGCGCCGCGCGCCTGCAGCCTTAGCACGTTCTCGAACTGGTCGAACAGCAGCGGGACGCCCACCACGGGAACGCCGTGGAACACGGCCTCGTACGCGCCGTTGGTCCCGCCGTGCGCCACGAAGGCGCGCGCCTTCGGGTGGCCCAGCAGGTCGTTCTGCGGGATCCAGTCCAGCAGCAGCGTGTTGTTTCCGAGGTTAGGCGGGCGCTCGCCCGCGTGCCGCCAAACCACCTTCTGAGGGATGGCGGCGAAGGCGGCGGCTATCTCCGCGGTGATGTCCGCCGGGAGGCCCTGGACTAGCGTGCCCAGAGACATTAGCACGAAGCCGTGCTCCCCGGAGCTCTGCACGAACGCCTCCAGCTCCGGGGCTAGCGGCCGCGCCGGCCCGCACTGGAACCCGCCGATGTACGCTACGTTGGGCATGGTGGGCCGCGGGAACTCGAACACAAAGTCCACGCGCATCAGCCAGAAGTCGGCGCCCTGCAGCAGGTGGTAGAAGCTCACGTCCGGGCCGAGGTACCTGTCCACCAGCATACAGTATGCTAGTTAGCTCAATCAGTCATCATTTATGGCGCTTTATAGAGCAAAAAATGCTAGTTAGCTAAATCTGCTATCATTTATGGTGCTTTATAGAGCAAAAAATGCTAGTTAGCTAAATCTGCTATCATTTATGGTGCTTTATAGAGCAAAAAATGCTAGTTAGCTAAATCTGCTATCATTTATGGTGCTTTGTGGGGCATACATGCTGAGGTACCTGTCCACCAGTATATGCTAAGTAGCTCAATCAGTCATCATTTATGGCACTTTATAGAGCAAAAAATGCTAATTAGCTAGCTAAATCAGTAACCATTTATGGTGCTTTATAAGGACAAAATGCCAATTAGCTAAATCAGACATCATTTATGGAGCAGAAAATGCTACTTAGCTAAATCAAACATAATATATGGCGCTTTATAGGGCAACGGTGCTAATTTGCTAAATCAATCATCATTTATGGCGCTTTACGGGGCATAAAAATGCTAATTAGCTAAGTCTGCTATCATTTATGGTGCTTTATGGGTCAGAAATGCTAATTAGCTAAATCAGTAACCATTTATGTAGCTTTATAGGGAAAAAAATGCTAATAAGCTAAATCAGACATCAGTCATGCCAATTTATCGGGCCAAAAATGCTAATTAGCTAAATCAGACATCATTGATGGCGTTTTATAGAGAAAAAAATCACACATCATTTGTGGTGCTTCATTGGGGAAAAAGATGCTAAATAGCTCAATCAGTCATCAGTT